TTTAACTGCCTTAGCTGGCCGGTGAATACCGGTTGTTGAGGAAACAACACAGTAACAATCCTCTCTAGGAGCCGCAGACACGTAGGCGACGGCATTGGCTGGTATTTCAGGTGGGCCGTGACCACCTTATACGGTTTGCCCCATGGGTCCTTCTCCACTTTCTGCCACCAGTTCTGCAAAATTAGGTCGCCGGGAGCCACGCTGTGATTTTCTTCTTTTCCTGAGACATTTTTTACGAAGAGCGCTGATGTGATCGTTCTACCAGTGCACCGCGGGTCTTCTATTTATGTCTCGTTTTCGTGGCATACTGGCGTCACAAGCTTCGGTCACTCTTTTTATAAGTTCTTTAGTCTGATCTTCTGCGCATCCAGCGGTGATCGGGCCGTTATCCAAAGCAGTCGTCAGCGTACCCGCTTCGAAAGATTTTACTCTCCTTCGAATGTGGTTAGGTAACCTACTAGTTCCTCTAGTATCCTGATCATTTGATATCTCCCAGAGAATCGCGTTGTGGTCACTGGCAGTGTAGATATCTTCCCTGGCAGTGTAGTAGCACCTTCCAGTTGAGGTTACCTCTCGCAAGGCTGCTACTGACGAACGTGAGGTCTGCGATGGAACTTGCGTCTCCTTTGGTGTAGGTTGGTGTGTCACCACTGTTGAGTAAGACTACGTCTAGTGCAGTAAAAGCCTCAAGTAACGCTTTACCTCGTGCGTTAGTTAGCTTGCTACCCCAGTCTACTGCCCAGGAGTTAAAGTCACCGGCTATTGCGACTGGATGATGCTGCTTCGCGTCTTCTGTCAGTCGATCCAGAAAGTCAGTGAAGTCAACAATAAAGAGGCTAGGTGGTGCGTAGCAGCTATAGAAGCGAACACCATCTACTGATACTGCTACAAAGCCGGCATTGCAATTGTTAACTACGCTCTGGAATGGGAGCTTGCCACAGGACCAAATGACGGCCCTGGTGGTTGTGTCCGTTTCCCATAATTTGCCTTTAAGGCATTTATATGGCTCGGCTATTAGTACAAGGTCAGGCCCCAGTTCACGCACTGTCTGCAGAAGCAAGTCATGTGCAGCCTCACAATGATTAATGTTTAGCTGTAATATTTTCATGCTCGTTTATTTGTTGTCTTCTGGAGTGCTTCTTGGAAAACTGAGCATTTACTAGAACCAGCCCGGTGGGCAGTATCTGTTGAGCCGGGTTTTTCATCACATAACATACACTTTGCTTCATTAGGGCATTTAGCTGCTAGATGGTCAGTTTGTCCGCACTTAATACAGAGCTTTGTTCGATCTATTCCGCTTCTACACTGGGCAGCAACGTGTCCATAGTGCCAGCACTAGAAGCACGCTTGTGGTCTTTCCAAAACTCGAACCCGGCAATTCGACCATCCGATCTTGATCTTGCCCCTTTCTACGAGTACTGTCTGCGCTGTTGTTATTGGTAGAGTCACTAGTGCAGTTTGGGTACCTGTGTAGGCTGGTCTGATTTTGATAGCTCCTTCCGGTATCTCAAAGCTATCTCCAGCTACTTCCTGTAACGCCGTCCGGATGTCATCTTTAGTTGTTGTGTCATCGATGTCTCGGATTTCTAATTGCTCCTGTGGGCCCTTACTGATAACTTTGGCCTCCTCTTTCAGGATACTCTGGATCGTCTTTTGTAGAGCTTGTCCTTTGTCAGTGCTCTTTCTAGAGAGCTCGATGAGCATGTCTCCGTCTCTGGTCTTGCGGATCTTATCAACCGTATTGCAGACTTGCTTATTAGGGACTTCTTTCTTTATTCGGCGCAGTATCTCAGCATAGTTTGCCTTTTCAACAGGCCGAATTATTAATGCGTCCGCTCTGGTGAATTTTAGCGGTTTTTTCCGCTTAGGCTCAGGTGGTGGCTTCTCAAGCAACTGCTTCAGGAGTTGCTCTTTCCTTTCTTTCTTCTGTTCGCTCCTAGACTGTACTTTTGTCCAAGCAAGCGCCTTTGGTTGTTCGCTGGTCTGCACTGCCGCTCCTTGTGGAGGGCTTTTCTTCAAATCCTTTTTCTTCATGGCTTGGCTGATTTTTGGGTCAGGAGAAGGTCGATTTTTTCTCTTACCTGACTTGTTGTTGGCTTCACTTTTGTCTTCCGCGACTGATTCACCGTCACCTTCAGCTCCGGTGTCCATTGCTTCGTCAGTCACGTCGACAGCCTGACAGGCTTTCTCCGGTGTAGCCGGATATGCGCTGCAATGATGAGCGCCACTCCTCGTCCAGCTTCTCAAACCTTTGAAGGGCGTTAGTTACACCAGTCATCTTGGATTAAATCTCTTTGTGAATGTTGACTTTTGGTTGGACGAAATCATTCAACTCACTGATCAGCTTTTCAAGGCGTTTGAGCGCTTGCGAACGCTTCATTTCAACGCTTGCGTCAATCGCTGCTTGTTGGGCATGTAGCCCGTTTCCACTTTTGTTTGTTTCCTTTGAATTACTCATACTTTTTTGATTTACCAGCGCATCGTACGGAGTGGAGCGAGTTGCCATAACTAGGAACGGGTGTACCCTCGGAGATAATACTCCTACCTCAGTTCCCTGAGGCCTAGCCGACACTTAGCCAGTCCCGGAATACACGGACGGACTAGAGTCGCTCGGGGCGGTGAAGATTCCGATCTCTGACACTCACTGCGTACTTCCTGATCAAGGCCCGAAGTGACTGGCTCCTGATCCACTGCTGCAACTTACACCTTGGCAGAGCAAGCTCACATCAGCCGTGGTCTGCATCGTCGGAAACTACGATACAGGTTCCGGACACTCCCAGTGAGTTACAGCAGGGACCGATCGTTTTGTTCGGTCAGTTAGTGTGACCAACCCATTAAAGGGGAGTTTTGTCCACGGGAGCGTATTTTGTTTGGTTATTTAGCTTGGCTCCTACCCGCTGTACCTCATCAACTGAGAGATTATCCAAGTGTCATCCAAGGACAGCGAGTGTTAACCCATCCGCTACGGGGAGACGCGCCTGGTAGCAGTTTCTCTTCTGCCGCAGGTGTGTGTGTGTGTGTGTGTGTGTGTGTGTGTGTGTGTAAACTTCTTGTAACTTTTGAACGACTTGACCGATTTCATTGCGGTTGGTGTCATTCAAAAGGGCTTCACTAAACTTAGATTTCCTGAAAATTTGAACTGATTCGGACTGGTAGATTTCGAGAAAATGCAAAAAAAGTGAAAAAAAAATTGTTTTTTTTTTTATTTTTTTCAAATATCTCCAAATTGGCTGAACCGATCGGTCTTAAAAACTATTCAGCTCTTAACCTTGAAAACCCCCATCGATCGCCACCAAAAACGTTAGAATCGGTTGATGCGTTCGTGAGATATCGTTGTCGAAAAAATCGAAAAAAGTGTTTTCTTGTAATAACTTCGAAATTCATGGCTCGATCGATTTAAACTTGAAAATTTTCTATAGAGCTTCAAAAACTGCGTCGATTGCCGCCAACCGCGTGAAAATCGGTTCATTCATTCAAAAGTAATTGCCGTTTGAAAATTCAAAAAATTGTGTCTTTAAACTGCTATTAAAGTTTTGAGCTCGAAGAGCTCAAATTGACGCAAAATAATATTTTTGAGCTCGAAGAGCTCAAAAACGTAATGTGTAGTTTGCAGCGTTTAAGTACAAAATGAGCGGGAAGTTGCAGGGATGGCCTTTAGGGTGAACCGTTTTTCTAATTTTTTTTGTTCTTTTTCTATTTATTCATGCACATATGTGCAAATAAAATTCATCCTATGACAAACAATTGTTTTTTTATCAATTATAAAATTAAAATTTTAAAAAATATTCAGCACTAATTCATTGAGTTTGGTCCGCAAGTTACGCGAGTTTAAATTAAGCCACGCCCCTTGTAGTTCGCGTGAGTACTAGTAGCGCCGCTTCTACTCACTTTTCTATGTCGGTAAATCGGTGACGCTTAGTTTGTTTAGTGACTAACTTTAAAAATTTTTTTAAAAAAATACACAGCTTTAAATAAAAAACTGTTTTCACTATTGCATTCTTTGGTATTTCATTTATAAAAAAAAAAATTTACATAAGTATTTCGCGATGGATAATTGTATTTAAAATACAATTTACTATGGCTTCCGGGTGGCTGTAAACAATTATTTGTTTATAACTAATTTTACATTTCACAGATTTACTGCCAAACTTGGAATTTCATTCCTGATATATTTTAGAATTTAAAAAAAAAAACTCCAGCTCCTTGTCTATTAGTCGAAAGTAGCCTCTACAATAAAATGATTGGTCTAATAGTCAAGGCAGCTTCATAGGACCTTAAAACGTCGAGATCTGATGAAAACGCGATTTAAAAAAAACGGGGTAGAAACAACAACTTCCTAATTTTTGAAAATTTTCAATATTCTTAGCGAGAAATTAATAAATATTATCAGTAAATTATCTTGAATTCACTGAATTATCGTGGAATGGTGGCGTATCGTGAGGGCCATATATTCAATCGTACAACACTCTGAATTATATTTTTTGTACGATACGAATGTGACGAATGATAACACTGATCCTAATCGTCATCTAGTCGTCTCAAGTGTATCTCATCGGCTTTTCTCAAAGCCAAAAAAACCAATTGGCTTTTTCAAGGCCTTAAAATATATTCAAACGACATAAGAACCCACTTACAAGTTGAATGAAGGTCCCAGTATTATATTTTTCGAAATCTTACTAAACAAAAAGTCTTGGGGATAGTCGACGTAATAAATCGGTTTTTCAGATTTTTTTGAAAAGTTTTACTTTTATTATAGTACACCTTTTCATTGTAATTTATTATTGAATCGAAGACTTCAATTTCATTTTAATTTTATTAGCTAATTAGCGATTCCCTTAATGAAAGCAGTACAAGATTTTAGTTATCTCAACTTTCTTCGAAACTCTTATGGATTTTACTTCGAAGATAATTATAAGCTTCATATGAATATTCTTATATACATATTTATGATAATATTTCTATTTATAAATATAATGCAAGATCTACTTCACTTATATAAAATGGATAGTAATAATTTGACTGATAAAACTAATAAAATCGAATCATCTTAGTGAATATCAGTACGGGATATATAGAATGATAATATGTGAGATTTTTGTAGCGATTTGTAAATTATTAATGTTTACAAATTTTCGAGAAACAGAATCAATTTTTCTACTTTTCTGAAATTTCAGCTGAAATTCTCATACTATTTTCCGTCTGTAAGGTGAAAAATGGAAATATTTCTTTGTATACTATTGATATATTATAAGCAATTAATTAAAAGATTTTTTCGAGATGTGAAGAATTCTTATAATCTCATTGATATCACGGTAAAAAATAATCGTGCATGATCATGCAAGAGCAAGTGTGATCATGTCTAATGGACAACATAATTCTTAAAAAATTTTAATTGAAACAATCTTTTTTTTTTATTTCCCTCATATATTTAATTAATGAGTTTTAACCGATAGTTTTTATGCTGAACATTACTATTCGAGACTTTGTTCGACAAGACTCAAACGCTGTATCCGAATGCGGATGCTGAAATTTACCGGGAGAAACACAAACGGAGAAAAAACTTCGAGGGACCACTGAATACAGTAACCCAGGTGTTCAAGTTAGAAAATCCAGGTCTTAACAACCTCTCGAACTCAGTGATGCCAACTTGGGGGATTTTCCCCTAAATTTAGGGGTATTTTGCAAATAGCGGGAAAGTTTTAGGGGATAAATTTTTTTAGGGTATTTTTTTGGGAATTTTTAATCCGTCAGAAAATATATTTTAATATAAAAAATTAATAAAAAATAACAATTCTTCAATTATTAATATTTAGAAGAACATTTTCAATGTATATATATATATATATACTAAAGCAAAGTATAAGTAAAGCCCTCGGGAGTTATACCTATATACATTATAAACTTATTGTAGATGTACTATTTACTTATTGTAGATAGCTATAGATTTACGCACCTTTATTATAGTATATACTATATAGTATATATGATACCTAGTGGATTTTGACATGTAAACGTTGACATGTTTTTAGTCTAGTAAGAATCAAGTTTTACTTTTTAAATATATCGTATATAATAACTGCAGCTTTATTATAACACAAATAGTAGATATAAGCAATAAAACAAATTGTTTTAAAGAAAAAAAATACACTCAAAAATATTCGAAGCAATGGGAACAAGACGAAAACTTAAAAGGTTAGTTTGTTATATTTTTAATAATTTTTAAAGCATTTTCGATAATCTTAAGTATGTTTTATTAAGTTACACAATTAAAAGATTTTTTTTTTACCAATACTTTTTTTTAAAATTGTTCTAGATTGGATAGCTCCTGATCCTACTGGTAACTGTCAAAAAGCTTATTGTAAATATTGCCGTACTATTTTAGTAGCACATAAAAAAGATCTAGGCAAGCATGCGATATCAATTAAACATAAAAATGCTGTTGATAAAGATAAACAAGCAAAATTATGTCGTCCAATAAATGTGATAAAACCTCCTAACAATAAAGTTAAAGTTGCTGAACTTCAACTAGCCACATTTATTGCAGAACATACATCAATTATCACAGTTAGATAACTTGACAGAATTGTTGAAAAAAATTGAACCGGATTCGAATGTTTTTAGTAAGATGAAATTGCATCGAACCAAGTGTGCAGCACTTATAAAAAATATTTTAAGCCCGTGTATGCTCGAGGACTTAGTGAATGATATGAAGAAATCTCCCTACTCACTTATTATGAATGAATGCACTGATATATCGACTGAAAAAATTCTATGCATAATGGTACGATATTTTTCTTTTAAAAAGAAAGAATTATTGACTACATTTTATGGTATTGTAACAATAGTTGACGCAACTGCTAATGGTATTCATTCGGCTTTAAAATTACAATTAGAAGCTGATGGACTTTCTTTAAAAAATTTAGTCGGTATTGGAGTTGATGGTGCAAATGTGATGGTCGGTGTCAACCATTCTGTTTCATCGCTTTTGAAACAAGAAGTACCTGATATTGTAATTATCAAATGTATCTGTCACTCTCTCCATTTGTGCGCTGAAAAAGCTGCAGAAACATTACCTCGCCAACTAGAATATCTTGTCAGAGAAGCTCACAATTGGTTTTCCAATAGTCCAAAGCGTAAGGATGAATATAAAAAACTTAATAAGGTCATGAATAGTGATGAAGCTAAAAAGAATCCGAAAAAAATTGCTGGTCTGAGCGGGACTCGGTGGTTGGCTAGATAGTCTGCAATTAATACTATTTTAGAGCAATGTAGTAAAGATTTCTTGGTGAAACTATGTACTGAAATTCAGGAACGATTGCCTATGAATATTTCTATATTGAAATCAACGAATGTCTTGACACCGACTTACGCTACATCACAGAGAAAACCTGATTTATCCAAATTGTTGGAACAATTCACTAGGGAATCATTGTATGGATCAAAAGATAATATTATCAAAGAATGGAACATCTTATCTCATAAACAGTGGGATAATACGAATGAAACTGTATCATTTTGGTCAGAAGTTTACGAGGATCGTGATTCAGGCAGTAATAGAAGATTTGAAAATGTTTCTAAATTTGCTTTAGCACTGTTAACTACTCCCATTTCAAATGCTGATATTGAAAGAGCATTTTCCATATATGATGTGATAAAGGATAAATTAAGGAACAAGTTAGCACTTAGAAATGGTTCAGAGTATCATGATGGTGAAATTTTCATTAAAAGGAGATTACGAACAGTGCACTTCATTTGTTCCCACTAAAGAAATGCTGAGCAGATTTACGGTACACATGTATGATTTTAAAAACGACACTGAAAAAGTAAGTGATGTAGAGTTTCAAGAACTGCTTGATATAACAAATGCAATATAGTTCATTTAAATATGTGACTTTATATGATAAAGAAATTTTTATTTATTAATTTGTTATTAACAATGCACGCAAAGTAAATATATTTATTTATATGATATAAATATTTACATAATATGAATACTTATATAAAATATCATGTATAGTCTATTAAAAGAAGTTAAAAAAAAAAAATATGTATGTGTATCAGAGTACACAGGTAAGAAGTAAAACTTCTTTATGACACATCATTTTTCTACTATTTATAACTTCATAGAAATTGGGTAGATAAAGCTTAAGAAAAAAAATTTTTTCCATATTAAATTAAAGATATTTCAAGATCGGTACTGAAATATTAGTCAAGTCGATACCATCTATTATTGCTGATTTTGCTTCACTGTCTGCCAATTCATTACCCGGGATTCCAATGTGTGCTGGGACCCATGCTATCACTATTTCTCCTTGTTTTGATAGGTTCCAGAGTTTTAGTTGGCACTCTTGTACCATTGGTGAATCGCTGAAGGGGTTCATCAGAGCTTGGACTGATGATAATGAGTCAGTGCAGATTATTGTTTTTTTGAACTGGTTGTTTTTTATGACGTTTAGACTCAAGGATATTGCTATTAGCTCGCTTGAAAACACTGAGAATTCTGGAGGGAGTCTATATTTTAGCGTTGTATCATTGAAGCATATTGAGCATCCACGTAAGTTATTGAGTGCAGACGCGTCTGTAAAGATCTTAGTGTGTAGTGGGTAGTTGTCTATCATTTCAGAGTAAAGTTGCCTATATATTGCATCTGGGGTGTCATTTTTGTCACCAGTTTCTGTTCTGAGTGAGAGCTCGAAGTTATTCCATCTGGCAGCCTAAGGCGGCAGAGGGTTGATGTGAGGTGCAAGACACCTGATGAAAGCAAGTTCTGAGTTTTTTATGTACTCATCAACGGTTGAAAAGAAAGATTTCTTGTTGTTTTCATCTCGAGGATATGGCGGGATGTGGGTAGTAGATGGTTTGAAGTTTAGGATTAGTTGTGTCCTTCTTAGATCTAGAGGAATTTCATTGGCTTCGGCTAGGATACTGGGTCTTGGGCTAGATCGGAAGGCGCCGATGGATAGTCGGAGTGCTGAAGTTTGGATTGTGTCTAGCTTTTTTAGCAAACTTTTGGATGCCGTATTATATAGAATTGCGCCGTAGTCGAGTGTTGATCTGATGAGAGCTTTATAGACATTTAGTAATATATCAGTGTCTGATCCCCAGTTTTTGGACGCGAGAGTTCGAATTATTGAAAGTTTTTGGTGGTATTTCCGCTTCAGATGTTCTATGTGTACATTCGATCGGAGCTTGCTGTCAAAATACATATCAAGGAGTTTAATATGCGTAGTCTGTTTGAGGAGAACGTTGTTGATGTGAAGATGAGGGCATGTCGTTTGTTTCTTCATGTTGGAGAAAACCATGTATTCCGTTTTGTTTTCAGCCAATTGAAATCCTGAGTGACTGCACCATTGAACTATATTATTAAGTACTTCTTGTAGTAGATCGCAGATGTTATTGACCTGAGATCCTGAGCAATATATGATTAAGTCGTCTGCATAAAGGAGTCCTTGGACAGGGGCGGGGATACAGTTGACGATGTCGTTTATAGCTATTAAGAATAACGTAACGCTGAGGACTGATCCTTGGGGAACTCCATTGGCTATTTCTTTTTTCGAAGAGAGGATATCGTTAACCTTGACTTGGATGGATCTGTCTTTTAGGAAGTTTTGAATGTATTGGATGATGTTTTCGTGAAATCCGAGCTGGGTTAATATTTTAATCATTCGGTGTTTCCATACCATATCATATGCCTTTTGTATATCCAGTGCTACCACTTGTTTGTGGTTGTGTAATGCGTTGCTTACGTAGTCGTTAAACGGAATTAGTGCGTGGTATGTCGAGTGAAACTTACGGAAGCCATTTTGAGCTGAGGAGAGCCAATTAGCTTTCTCTAGTATCCAAATTAATCTTTTGTTAACTATTTTTTCCAGAATTTTACCGAGGTTGCATGTTAAAGAGATTGGCCGAAAATTAGTTGGATTGGAGTGGTCCTTGCCTGGTTTGGAAATAGGTATGACTGTGGCGACTTTCCAGATATCAGGAAACACGTTGTTAGACCATATTATGTTGTATAAGCTTAGCAGGGTTTGTTTACTTGGTTTAGTCAAATGTTTGATCATGACTACAGGGAGGTTATTAGGTCCAGGGCTGGAGTTTTTACATGTAGAGAGGACTTCCTCAAGCTCAGCCATTGATAGCGGGTTATTGACTTGAGTCATAAACTCGAGGTAGCCACTTATTTGTTTAATGCCATAGGTGTTAGGGTGGCTTGATGTGGAGTTCGATTCCTGCAGTTTCTTGTAGTCTAAGAATTTTTGGGAGAAGTTTTTGTCACTCGAGTTAAATGCAAATATTTCTGCGAGAAGTTCGGCTTTTCCTTCGGATGATGTGTAAGCTTTATCTCTTGAGTCGAATAGAGTTGGAGTGATGCTGAACGATCTGGATTTGTCTATACTTTTGATTTTTTTTCCATATTTGAGCGGTTGGGGTGTGGTTATTAATGGATGAGACAAAGTTCTGCCAAGACTTTTTTCTAGATTCTTTCAGCTCTCTCCGGGCGATTGCTCGGAGTCTTTTAAACTCGGTTCTGAGTTCTATATTGTCTTTCTTTTTTTGGAGTTTTTTATATGCTTGTTTTTTCTCATTAATGGCATTTTAACTTTTCTCCGAGCACCACTCGTATGTTTTCTTTTTAAGGTTAGGGGCGGATTTCGGTATGCTTTCATCAGCTGCTGAGGAGATAGCTTGAACAAAGTCGTGAACCATCGCATTAATATCTGAGTGGGTGTAGTCTAGTAGCTTGAGTTGTTTTATGTTGTCTTCTGAAAGTTTGGAAAACTTGGTCCAGTCAGCCTTATGAAAGATCCATTTTGAATGTCTCTGTGCATATTCCTGAATATCATCAGCTTCAACTAGTATATGTATCGGGTAGTGATCGCTATCATATGAGTCGTCATCCACGTACCAAGATAGTAGGTCGGTGAGGCTAGGGCTGGAGAAGGCTAGGTCGATGTTGCTCATTGTGCCAGATGCTATGCAGAAATGGGTGGGGTCTCCGGAGTTTAGCAGGTTGAAGTTGCTCTAGTCTGCCCATTCTTCAATTATTTTTCCTCGATATGAGTCAATTTTTATAGAGCCCCATAACGGGTTATGGCTATTGAAGTCACCCATAATGATAGTGGGGTGAGTGAGCTGATCTGTCATACCGTACAGGTCTTGAAGTGACAGTCTATAGCTATTCGGAATGTATGTATTACATAGGGTAATTGCTTGTGGGCTGCGGATGGTGACGGCAATCACTTCAATGTTGCAGTTGAGAAGTTGAATTTCTTTAGCATGGATGTTTGTTTTGACATATATTGCTACTCCGCCGCTAGCATGACCAGCGTCCGCTCCGTTCTTGTAAAAGCAGTTAAATCCTTTTATTTGTGAGCAGTTGTTGCCTTTAAAATTGGTTTCTTGTAAACATATGACGTCAGGGTTGTTCTTCTCTATAAGTAGCTTCAGGTACTCATACTTAGCCGAAAAGCCATCGAGATTCCATTGTACTATGTGCATATTCTGTTTATTTATTTTTTCTTTTTTTTTTTTTATATATTAGTGTAAGACTGTGTCATCTCCTGACATCTCAATGTCAGTGCTGTCGTTATATCTGGACTTATTCGAATCTGAGCCGAGAGATATTTCATATTCAATTTTATATTCATCTCTGATTCTATTTCTTAGCTTAGTAAATCTTGATTTCATTCCCCGTGAGCTGAGGAGGGGATAGAGCGAGGAGAGCATCATTATTGTTTGTGTTGGGTCTATTTTGAACTCTTCGATGATGTTCTTCACTTGTTTTTCGCCTTTAGTTCTGTCGTATAGATTTTGTAGTTGGTTGAAATTGCAAGGGTGTTTGGTAGGGTTGTTTGACATCTCGTTCTGTACTGACACGGGTATTTGTAGAGGTTCGTTAATTTTTTCAGTTTTGTCTTCTTTTTTTTTTTTGTTCGCCGTTTTATCCCGCATGGTAAGTTCCCTTTTATAGGTGATTGATGATGTTGATTCTGTAGAAGTTCCCGAGAGGGCATAGGGTCTTTTGAAGCCTGAGTCCAACAGGGGCATCGGGGGTTTGTCCCCGGCCTTGGGAGCATTTGGGCGACTTGGTTCACGGTTACTGGGGGGTTGTTGTGTCTCAGATTGATTTGGTTGACTTGGATTATCAGAAGTTTTAGGATTGTTAGCTGGGCATTCTTTAGCTAAGTGACCTTCTACGTGGCAGATAAAGCATGCCGGTGAGTCAGTGGTAGGGTATATATTGTAGTTACTATCATCAAATCGGACTTGAAGAATTTCAGGTAATTTAATGCGTCATTAGCTTTAATGTACACTTGTCTGCGGAAGCTCATAATATGTGCAAAGCCAGGTTCATTCAGTCCCACTCGAAGGAAGGAGAGGGGCGATATTATTTCAATGTTTAGTTTGTGCAGTTCGTCAAGAATGTAGCTGTGAGGGATTATTGGGGGTACGTTTGATAATATAATGCGCTTATTACTGTTGACGAGCGGTCGGATGTTTAAGGTTTGTGTTCCGATTAGTACAGTTTTCTGTACTTCTACAAATTCTTTAACTAATTCTTTCGTAGCAAGGTATATTATATACACACGCGGTTGTTCGAAATTTTCGAGGCGAATCTGATGTTTCCTGGGTCTGTCTTTTGAGCGATGACCTTGTGTACATTATATATGTGTACATTATGTGTACAATATTACAAGTCACATGTGTATGACGTTTTGTTCTCTTATTAATTAATAACTTTTAACAGATTTATTAATGATGTAATGGAAGTAGTTAAGGGGTTATACGCAGTTAGAATTTTCAAAAAATTGTTTTTTTTTTGCATTTTCGGAATGTACATATATTTGAGTATATTCTCTGAAAATTTGAAGTCAATCCGATAAATATTTTCGGAGATTTACCTGAATTTGTAAGGCCACGTCAGAGCGTTAGAAAGTAGGGTCAGTAAGAACTGGACGAGCAGCTGCATGCATGAGGCGCGCTACCTGAGACCCTTTATTCTATCGTTTTCTTGTAGAATACGAGTATAATAGTCAGATATACTAAAGACTTGAAGGTCACGTGCAGTTATATTATAACCTAAAAAAAGTGTTTCGTCAGTCTAAATTGTACTGCTAAGTGGTAAAGTCGTGCGTTCAGTTTAAACTTACTAGTGAATTTTATTTAAACATTAAAAAAATGCCTCGTAAATGTTCGAGATCTCGCAGAAGTACCGAAAATGTCCAATTATCTAGAAGAAAAAAGGGAACACAGACTTTTAATCCAAAGACTACTGAAACGGATGAAAGTAGTTTTAGTGCGTCTGCGAAAAAATTTAAAATGCAGAAAGAAATTTTAGTTTCACGTGATCCTTCGATTGAATATAGAATTCTAAACTTCATTACAGTATTTGCTGCGATAAGTGAATATGTGCAATGTAAGTCTTGTAAGGGAAACATAAAATTTGAAACTGCTTCTACCCGTGGACTTGGTTTTAAAATCGTTGTACTGTGTGATAACTGTGAGAATCGTGTGATAAACTCCAGCCCTTTTGTCAAGCATTCTTACGAAATAAACAGAAGATTTATATTTGTTATGAGAATTCTGGGACTAGGATTAAAAGGCGCAGCTAAATTTTGTGGCTTGATGGATATGCCTGCTTTTTTAACACAAAACACTTATGACTTGATTATTGAGAACATTCATTCTTGTGTGAAAATAGCAGCTGAAAAACTGTTTGAAAAAGCCTGTACTGAGGAAAAAGAAGCGACTGCTGGAAACCAAGGTGACCAAAATGACCAAGGTGACCAAAGTGATGGAGAACTAACAGTTTCGGGTGACGGAACCTGGAAGAAGCGAGGGTATTCTTCTTTATATGGAGTGACATCATTGATTGGATATTACACTGGAAAAATCATTGATATAGTAGTGAAAAGTTCTGACTGTAAGCAGTGTGAGGTTTGGAAACCTAAAAAAGGTACTGAAGAGTATACTGAGTGGCACGATGAACATAAAAAAACTTGTGCTGCGAATCACAATGGCTCTTCAGGTAAAATGGAAGTCGATTCTGTTATTGAAATGTTCAAGCGTTCAATCGAAAAATTCCAAGTTCGTTATAAAAACTATATAGGTGATGGCGATTCAAAAACATATTCTGGGTAACTGAAAGCTGCTCCTTATAATGACTATGAAATTGTTAAAAAAGAATGTATCGGGCATGTTCAAAAGAGGATGGGCTCACGACTCCGCGACCTAGTAAAAAACAAGACTGAATCAATAGAAAAAGACGGAAAAACAATTAATAAAAAAGTACTTTCTGGAAAAGGTAAGCTCACAGCTAAGCTAATAGATAAGCTGACAATTTATTACGGTTTGGCAATAAGAAGAAATTGTGATTCTGTGAACAGTATGTATAATGCAATTTGGGGAACTTATTATCACTATTGTTCGACCGATGAGAATCCTCAACACGAAATGTGCCCAGGTGGAGAAGGTTCATGGTGTACTTGGCAGCAAGCGCTAGCAACAGATACATTATCTTCTTACACCCATGATTATCCAGCTTTACCAGCTGATGTTGCCAAAGCTATATATCCAATTTACGAAAACCTTAGCAACGAAAATTTATTGGAAAGGTGTAGGTGGATTCACACAAAATAACAATGAAAGTTACAATCAGTTAATCTGGAAAATAAGTCCGAAAATTGTTCCATGTGGCTCTAAAGTTGTTGAAATAGCGGCTTACATTGCAGCTGCAACATATAATGAAGGTACAACATCATTGTTACACATGATGAGTGCATTAGGGCTTTCATTAGGCACCTCAGCTCATAATTATGCTGAGAAAGAGGACGCAGAGCGTGTGATGATCTCCAACGCGAGAGCGCTAGGGAGCACGCGCGAAGAAAGAATGGCTCGACGACAACACCAGCTGGACTTACTGGAAGCTAGGGATCCTGCACAAGGTCCCTCTTATGGCCCTGGAATCGATGATACCATCTAAGTTTAAAAAAAAAGATTTACCTATGTGTAAACTACTCGGTGAGCAAGATTTCTCAGAGATGGCTCAACTAATCGGGCTGAAATTTTGACAATCTTTTTAGATACATTCTTCAGGTATTGAACGAAGGAATAAGATGTACAAAATTTTTTACTATTTTTTTTGGACAATTTAAAGCGAAAATTTTCATCGAAAACTAAAAATTTTTTTCAAATAGCCGCCATTTTGTTAAAAATGAAAATTTTGTTTATTCCTTCGTTCAATACCTGCATTTATCTATCCTTTAAAAGAATTCACCTTTTTTTTTTTATTTCAGATAATCCAAACCGACAAAATCGTGCTCACCGCCGAGCGCCTTTTTTTGGAGGTCGTTCAGGACATCATCTGCAGAGGCGGTGCACATCAATATTTTGACACGAGTAATACAAAATTATATTCTTCTAAGTGTGCTCTTTCAGAATTACTATTACTTGTACTTAGTAAATAAAAGCTGTGTCCACAAAAAAATCGTAAAAAACCTTATTTTTGAGCCTCGCAACTGCGTATAACCCCTTAAAATTAAGATCTATAGTGCTATGTCAATGATGTTTACTATATATTGTATATTAAGATGCCTGATGAAGATTAAATATATAACCGAAACGTCGCTAAATTAATAATTAATATATTGATTTACATCATTTTATTTGTCCACTTCCCTGCTATTTAATTATTATGTCTGTTACGTTCCCAAAAATACGATAAGTAAATTCGTTGAGATTAAAAAGATTTAATATCAGGTTTTGACACCTTGGGTAGTCGATCGACCCCCGGTGTGTCATCACAGATGAGCTTACTTGCTTTAATTTAATTATTATCGACTCACCTTTATAAGCCCCATAAATCGGCCCAAATAACCCCCTGGGTTTCCAAGTACTTAGCTTCAATAGGCGGGTAGATGTCACAGCCCGCCTTCCGGAAGTACTCCTTAGAGTAAAACTCGTATCGAGGGTCTTCGATAGGGATGACGCCTCCTGGAGGGTGAACCTCGGGAACCTCTACCGGGACCAACTCCCAGTTCCTGGTGGTGTCCGTCCAATAGGCAGGGCGGTTGTTGCTGACGAATGTCGAACGACCTTTTGAACACTGGTATGGCGGTGACTTGGCCGAATCCTCCTCGGCGGTCCGTACTACTCTTACTCGTGGTTCAATGAGTATTTCGTCGTCGATTATGTGCAACACCGGCTTCGTACTCCGCACTACTTTTACTCGCGGCTCAACTTGAGTTTCGTCGTCAATTACCGGTAACGACAGATAGAACGGCTGGGCCAAGAGACGACGATGTTTTTGTGCCGAGCGACCCGATCGACGTGATCGCCTTCCTAGAGGCATAAAGGAATTTGGCGTTGGCGAAGAGGTTGGGACCTGGTGGAATGCCAATAAAGCATTCGCCCAGCAGGAGGGTTAGGCTGGAGAAGGCGCTGACTAGCTTCTGACTGCTCCAGAACAATGTTTATAAATCTTATTGTCAGCCATGTTGGTAGCTCAGGTTACTCCTGAGAGAGTCAACGAGGCCCGGGTCCCATGCTGACGCAAGATGTTTTGGTTATCCGTGGCCATGGCAACTCTCTGCAGACGCCTTATCACAAGAGATTTCCGTTACTTCGCTGTTGGTATAACCACCAGCGAAGCAACAGATATCGCTTGTTATGCGTTCTGAGAATCTGATCAGTTGAAATAAGAACGTTTAAATAAAATGAATAAATCTTCAAAAAAAATATTAATTAAATTTAGGCTGAAATTCGTGGAATGTAACAATGTCAAATCATGGACACAACAACTCATAATATAATTTATTATTATTAAGCAAAATTATTAAACAATTAAATTATCAAAATTTAGTTAATAATGAGAAGTAGTACTATTGATGAGCCGGGTATACGACCCCAGGGCTCATCAATATCAAGTCCTGATACCTGGTGTAAGTTTGGCTTGAAGAAACTCTTTGTTTGATACTGGCTTCCTTCTTTGGACTTTTGGCTGCTGATGTTACTGCACTGAACACTGCACTACTTCTCCCGACACAACGCATGGCTCACCTATATAACGACCCTCAAAATACCCCCTCCTACTTTCTCTCTCTAGGCCCGAAGATCGATGCGCCCAAATGCTAGTCGAAAAGTTATCGATCTCTGGCGACTTATCGAATAAGGGTAATTTACCCTGTTACAATATAGATATATCACCATTAGAGATGCGAGCGGTCCCGTCATTGACATTTTTTTTGGTCATCGGACGGTCACAGGACCGTGACATGACCGTTTGTTAAATGACGGACCGAGCAAGCGAAAATGCTGCCATCTAGTGAATTTCCATCAATTTAAAGCAATTAACTTTAAATATATGAAACTATCGAAAATCTTAAAGATAAATATGTAATAATAACTATTAAATAAAGAAACTTTTGTGATAATAATAATAATATAATTTATCTCATTTCATATTAATTGCATCATTTAATAGTTGAAAGTTAGCGGCAGAGGCAGCCACGCGGCACGCGTCTAACTTTGGCGATCACCCAAGCTAAGCAGTATTGACTGCGGTTAGTACTTGGATGGGTGACCGCTTAGTCAGCGCTGGCTAGCGCGTAGGTCTCCGTGCGCGAGGAGAGGGGACTAATGTTCCGGTAATCGATAAAAGAAGAGTATTCTTATCGATTACCGTGAGCTTAGCCCTGCTCCGATTGTACTGGCATGGGTTCTTCTCTGTGGTTTCCCCATGTCACTATTCCAAGAGCCTAGGAAGAGGTGAGGAATAGGGCAAATGCAGTACAAAAAGCACAAGCCGGTCCACAGAAGCAAAAAAACCAGTAGGAGACGAGAGGACCACTGAAGTGGGGGTGAATAGGATAAAAAAATAATAGGATGGGACGTAGTCCCCCGCTTCCAGGCCAATAGGCTGAAGCGCGAAGACCTCATAAAAAAAAAAAAATAGTTGAAAGTTATTTTAAATTAAAAGACAATTTTAAAAAATTACATGAAAAAATTATTTTTATTCGACTTTAAAATGGTTACCTGTACAAACTAAAAGTGAAATATCTCAGTAAACTTCTGTAAAACAATATAGAGTAAAAATATCGGTCACTATATAATATTAATTTATATTTCAACATATATTATTTTTTTATACTTTGACTTATATTCTTAATAGTATAAATTATTATATATTTTTTACTTATAACAGAACATAGATCAGCAGATATAATAATCAATATATTATCGAATTATAAATAACAGTATGTATTTGATACTTATTGTTTCGTATAATACAACTTATCTGTTTTTACGCACCATGTAATATTTAATTTTTGAAAAGAACTTATAATCACTATAAATATTAATTAAAAAAAAAAAATAAATTATTTTTAGCTGTAAAATATTTTTCAATTATCGTGAGTTAAATTAAGGCTCAGCTGGTGTCATTTCAGTGACATTATAATGACTAGTAATGTCATAGTTATAGAAATAGTCACCATACAGTACCTGTGTACGAAAAACATATATTTTCTGCTTGTGATCTTAATAATTATCTATACTCAGTCACTTATCCTCAGAGTTTCAATAATAAAATTATGTTGTAAATACCATCATAATAACCAAAGAATGACTTTGTATTTATAAAGACTTAAAAATTGCAAGATACAATTATAGTTGATTCCTCTTCAAAATCACTTTTTTCAAGCTTTACGCATAAATTATTATTTAAGAAAAATTAGATTAATACTATCCATACGAGCTCTTGTAAATTGTAGCAGCATCTAGTTTAGGGACATTATAAGCTATAATAACAAATTAACATCTATTCTTCAATTACTATATTAAAAAACCAATCTTAGTATTCGATTTATTGAACATGTTTATTAATTTAAACAACTTTTAACTAAAATAAACAATGTTGTGAATGAATAATATTTTGTAATTATGCAATTGAAACTCAAAAATGAATAGTTATTTAACTATTTAAATGAACGAATTGAACACAAAGTTCTTGAATGACTTCACTCAGTTTTCACCCTGAAATTAAATATTTTTTAATATTTTATACATAAATAAAAGAAAAAAATGCTCGTAATATATTGTTTTATGCGTACTATAAAAATATAAAATTATCAAACCAAAAAGTATATTGTAAATTTAAAAAAAATGTAGGATTTCGTTTTTTTTTATAACAAATTAAAAAAATAAGTATCTTAAGGCCAGTTTTTCAACCCCGGGTTTAAGTATTCTATCATTGTGAATATATCTATATATCTATTATATATAGATATATTCACAATGATAAAATACTTAAACCCAGGGTTGAAAAACTGGCCCTTAGTTTATGTTGAGTTTAATTTTATGTACTCATTTTCATAGTATTCGAAAGATCAGTATATTACATCACAATTCACAATTAAATCTTTTTCAATACCTCGCAATTATCGACTTTATGTTTTCGGCGCAAATCGTTTAAAAAGTTGTTAATACTTTGCCCCAAAAAACCACGTTGATAAGATTGAGGGTGTTGCTTCTTGACAGTAACTAGTAATCAATACGTTTATTTCTAATTAGTGATTAATAATTATAAACGGTCTAACAAGATTTGAACGAGACTATCATGCACTGGTAGAAGGATTTCTCAGCATTTAAGAAGATTTCTTTGTATTTAAGAAATGATGTTTAAGAAATGATTTCTTAAATACAAAGAAATCTTCTTAAATTCTAAGAAATTCTTCTATCAGCGTGTAGAGGATTTTTTAAATACTTTCACACTAAGCCGAATCACGATAAAACACCGTATTCACGGTAATTCACAGTAAATTTATAATAAAACGGTGATGAAAGACTAAAGCCATTGTAATTCACATTAAAATCGCATCACTCAGCAGTCAATCTGTGACCTTACCGTGATTTTATTGTGAATCACCATGACTATAGTCTTCTATCATACTACTGTGCATTTACCGCAATATGACTATGATTTATAGTGATCCACTAAGGTGTACCAAAATTCAACTTCCTTGATGGACCTCTTAAAATTGGAATTTTGAGTTCCGCTTTTAACAGGAGTTGTGTTTGGGCATTTTCTGAGATATTTTGAGCGTAAGGAATTTATTTGATTTTCATAGAATTCTTTACCAGAAGTTTTGTTTAGACATTTTTGCTGAAATTTCAAAATTTGGCCAAACAAAACTTCTGTTCAAAAATTTTATGAAAATCAAAAAAATCCCTTACGATCAAAATATCTCAGGAAATGCCCAAATACAACTCCTGTTAAAAGCGGAACTCCAAATTCTAATTTTAAGAAGTCCATAATGGAAGTTTAACTTTGGTACACCCTAGTGATCCACAGTAATTTTGATCAGGCAGGGATCGCTAAAGACTATTAAAATAATAATGCAATATTAAATAAATTTCATGAGAGATGATTTTTCTTCGTACCACGGATAGCATCCATGATATTTTTATCCAATCCAACTCGTTGCTCTGTCGAAAACTTAAATTTTGATTTTCCTCCCCTTAAGTTATTCTTCAATAATACATCAATGGGAAACATAGCCATCACCAATGCAGTCCCCATGGAATTGTAAGTTGATTTGCTTTTTGCAGTGTCCCATTGAACTTTGGTTATGAAAATTCCGCTTCCTTTGTTTCCGATTTCAACCTTTCATTTTAGAATACTAATTAAAATTTTTTCTGTAAACAGTTTAAAAGATTTAATTTAAATACCATTTCATCATTTTCTTCAGTTGCATTACGCTGCGCACTTAAAATTTTCACATTTTCCGTAAGTTCAAGTAGCGCTTTTTTGATGATTTTGTTGTCTATAATAGGAAAGTAAAAGTATTAGTTCCGGATAATAGTCTACATCGATTGAATTATAAAAAGTAGTCTCTTAGTATATTTGTCGTTATTTTGCGGTGAAATTAATTAAAATCAAAACGGAGAAATTAAGCAATTGAATAATTAAATTGGATGATGAGAGGAATTCAAAGAAATAATAATAAAATATCCAAATCATCTTCAAAACAGAGTGGAAAACAATAAGAAAGATCTCGAGGAGCTTTAATATTTGAATAGATCACAACGTTAAAGTTTAGCAAAAAAATTACCGACCATATGAAACAACGGTGTTTCAAAGATAACTTTAATTGGGTTTTAATATTGATTAAAAACTCAATTATTCGTATAAAAAGCGTAAGAACAACTTGGTTCATACATAGTAATTATTTTTAATAAAAATCTCTGTCTGAAAGCCGAAAAAAATCAAATTATTATTTGAAAATTTGAAGGGATTGAAAATTTGGTTTAAAAAGAAAAATATTCAAAAAACGGTTGACGTTGCAGGTGATTTTCAAAATAAAGAAAGTTAGCAATTAGATTGCAGTTATAGAGTTGTTTGAGCTCCAAAATAAATCAATTTTTGTATTATTTTGTGCTTTTCGAGCTCTCAAATGTATCTGATACTTTTCTACTAAAAATTTTTATCAAAAATTTAATAATCATTTTGCTTAACAACCGATCCCTTCTTTTTCTTTTAAAAAAATAAAAATTTCGAAAAAAAAAAACGCTCTACTACGTAATAGATTTTTTAATTATCTTTTTCGTAACAGAGAGCTAATTTCGAAATTCTTCTTTGTTAAAGAGAGAAATATAAATCTGCCATCTTAGGGAGCGGTTCTTAATCAATTTTTTCAAAAGTTTACCAACTGAAAGTTAACAATCATTAATTATCTATTAATTCAAATTCGATATTAATCAAAATATACCGTTGTAAATTTCTTTAAGAGAAATTCGCGAAGAATAATCATCGCTCTGTCGTGGTCTAATTCCAGATATATCAAAATCATTAATTCCAGAACTTTCAGCGGACTGATTTGGACCATCTGCAGATGACACACGTTGCTGGTTTTGTTGAAGATTAGCCGTAGTTATCGGTGTTGATAAGGATCCAAATGCATCAACTATTTTAGTCGTAGTAGCTTGATTCTGCTTATCTAAGAGCTCATTATCCGACAAAATTTTCCTTCTTGATAAGTTGTCATCATTGTTAGTACCTAGAATTTTTCTTTTCCACTTATCTTTCTGTTTAACCGCTAGAAAAGAAATCTAGTCAAATACTTATAAGAAGAATTACGCCTTCGGGCTTAATCGTTGGAACTAGGTGGTTATTGTCAAGTTCCTTAGTCAGCGGAAAAAGGTATTAATGCGTCGAAAGCAGTTCCCTGTATTAGAGTACCTGTTCACTCGGTTCCCATGAGAAAGCGTCTCATCAGTACCACGTGCAAGTAGCGACTCTCGGTAACCAGAGTCAGTCTAGAAGGATAACGGAAATTCGGTGTCTAATTCAGGTGGGCAAAATGGCCCATCGATTTATAGAAATATATATGATTTATCATAATATTGACGGGAGGGTAGGCCCACCCGTCACAATTATCAAAAAAATTTTTGAATTATCTCATAAACAGCGCATTTGTTTATAAAAGTTCTTTAAACAATAGAAAGTAAAAATTATTAAAAATCATTTCTCAGTAGCTTTTGATCATAAGAAAATGGATCAATAATAATATTATTATGAAAAAAATTTTTTTTCAATGTTTAATAAAGCTTTATAACTTTTCATCTTAGTAAATTGTTAATAAAAATACGAAAATTAACAATTTTTTAATTTTTCCAACAGGAATCTATTCGAAGACCTTTGAAAAATAGCTCCACGAACGGAAAAAAATTCTCATATTAATAGTTTAATGATTATCGTACTTGCAATGTTAATGTTCGTGATACAAAAAATTGTTAATTAATTAATGGATAACTTATTGAAAAATCACGATAAAAATTTTTTGACCACGGATTATTATTCATTAATCTGTCCTGTAGGCGCCTGAATTTTTTCAATTTTTTATTTTCATATTTAACAAGTATAAATGTTATTTATTCATTAAAGGTCCGAAGGTGGCGTGGCTTGCGCAAACCGGAGTATCCGTTTTCGGACGTATTTTCAACCCTTTTTTATGAATTTTCCTCCTCTTTTTGAATCTTTTTTTAAATTTGAAAAATCTTTATTAGTTTTTGAGATATTTGCAAAAAAACTAAACCCCTTTTTTTTTAGTTAATTGTTAATAACTTCTGCAATTTTTGCTAGCGGAACTTCATTTTTTTCGAAAATCATCTAGATGCTATGACCAAGATTTTACTTTTTGTATTTGAGTATTTTGGTTTATTTTTATTAATTACTTAAAAAAATTAATAGAAACAATTATTATGATTATTGCGGTGATTATTATTTAATTATTGTATTTATTTAGTTAATAATAATGTGGGAGTTAGGCAGGGTTCAATAATATAATTAATAGAAGAGTTGTTTAAATTATATGCAACGTTTATTCAATGTAGAAATTATATCTATGTATATTAGGGGACATCCATTAATTACGTGAGCTATTTTTCGATCAGTTTAGACTCCTCCCCCCCTTAGGTGAGATTTAGTGAGATTTGTCTGGACCCCCCCCTCCCCTTACGTGAGATTGACGCTAAAAATATTTTAAATTAAAATTATTTTTATTATTCGGGAGAATAATAAACCATTCAAGTATACTATAGTTAATTTATTTAAATTAAGTAAAATTCAAAGCAAAAAAAACATAAAAACAACACTTTTTTTTAATTTTTACTCAATCCATGGAGACTCATGTACTTTTTTTATACATACATATTATAATTTATATTATAATTATAATGTTAAAGAAGTCCACCATTAGCTCTGAGAAGAGCTTGTTTAAATCATCACCTTAAATGATTTTAATAGACATAAAATTTATTTTAGCGGGCAAAATAAACACTCAAAATAATTTTTTTTTTAATGTCTGTAATATTTTATATTTTTTGAAGTTGAGGTGAGATTTTTGATTATCCCCCCCCCTCGGCTTAGATGAGATTTGGTGAGATTTCATTGGACCCCTCTCCCCTCATTCTGAGCTCACGTAATTAATGGATGTCCCCTTACACGAGGTGTATAGACTTGACGACTAGATACGAATGGTTAGAGAAAACGTATAGGCCGATATGCATGCACGCGTGTGTATGTATCGGTGCAACTAGCATGCGCGATGAATCGTCGACCGTCGTAGTGTGAGTAGTATACGTGTGAGTATTACTATCTCCAACACTCTCCCTTAATACGAGCACGTGTGCTGTATTACTCCGTCTCACTCACTCCCAGTGCTTTCGTGATATCAGTGTAACTCTCTCTGGTTAGTGGCTTCGTGAAAATGTCGGCGATCATCTCTTCTGTTGGCATGTGCGCCAGCTTTATCGTCTGGCTCTGGACTGCTTCTCTGACGAAGTTGAATTTGATCCTGACATGTTTGGTTCGGTCGTGGAACTTCGTCACCGTTGTCAATTTAATTGTGCCCTGATTATCGCAATAAATTTCTCCATTTGAAAATTGTGGAATCCCCAGCTCGTAGATGAGTCCTCTCAGATACATGGACTCTTTAGTGGCTTCTGTAAGGGCCTGGTACTCAGCCTCCGTCGTCGACAGTGCCACTGTCCTCTGTTTCTTGGATTTCCAGCTAATTGCAGCTCCTCCCAGGATGAATGCATACCCTGTGTACGACTTTGAATCGGTAGGATCATTGCCCCAGTCAGCGTCGGCATATCCTACGATTTTTCTTATCGGTTGTCGATATACAAGTCCTAATTTTGACATTCCTTTTAGGTATCTTAGTACCCTCTTCGCAGCTCCTCAATGCTCTTCATTCGGATGCTCATTGAACTGGCTCAGCGCGCTTACACTGTGTGCAATGTCTGGTCTCGTTGCTACTGATAGGTACATGAGCGATCCGACTAGTTCTCGGTACTGCGGGTTCGTCGTCTACTTCTCAGCGTCCTTTGCGGCTCTCAACTTCGACGTTGGGCTCGCTGGCGTGCTCTGAGGATTACAATTCATCATGTTGAATTTCTTTAGTAAATCCTCGACGTACTTTCCTTGACTCAAGCTTACCCTGCCTGGCTCTTGTTTAATTTCAATGCCTAGGCAGTATTTAGCCTCTCCGAGGTCCTTGATTCCAAACTCTTTGTTTAGGCCTCGTTTTAGATCTATGATCCATTTCTCGTCATTCGACGTAGCCAAGATGTCGTCTACATACACAGCGACTAATATTATTTTTCCGTCTTCTTTGTATTGGAAAAGACATGGATCTGATATCGTTGGCTCCAATCCCAACTTCTGGAGTGTGGCTTTTAAGCGTTCGTACCACTTCTTTCCAGATTGTTTCAATCCATATATTGCTTTGCGCAATCTGCAAACTTGCTCACCTTTTGCGAAGTTCTCAAGCATCTTTGTTGCCATCGGGAGTAATGGTGAATCTCTTCTCTCATTTCGTACAATGAACTCCAGAGTCTCTTTCAACGTCGTCGAGGCTTCCATGTATAGCTCCTCGTCGATTACTCCGTGTAAGTACGCCGTTATTACATCCATTTGATGTAATTTTGTTCCCATCTCCGTCGACAATGCTGCTAGTAATCTGATGGTGTCCAGTCTCGCCACTGGAGCAACCGTTTCATCGAAGTCGAATCCAGGTCTTTGTGTGAAGCCCCTGGCTACTATTCGCGCCTTTCTACGCGTGATATCTCCTTCTGCGTTTGTTTTATTTTTCAGAATTACTTTCGAGCCAATTACTCTCCCTCGCTCTGGTCGTTTTACCAGCTCCCAGGTTCCATTTTGCAGGTGTGAACGCACCTCATCAGCGATTACACGCTTCCACTCGTGTGCATTATCGCCTTTTGTCGCTTCTTCCAGCTCAATATCTGCCATATAAGCCATTTCTTCGATGAATTTAACCTCTATCGGTTCATCTTCGTCTTCCAGGTCTTCGACGTCGTTCGTCAATGTTCCAGCTCCACTTCCACCCATTTCACTGCGTGCTCGCTTGTCGATTTGCACTAGTGATGTATCGAGCGGTCTTTTCTCGCCTCGATTTTCCTCGCTTGCCTGGTAAAATACGTCGTCGGGTCCATCTGCTTCTTGCTCCATTGGTTCATCTACGTCCCCTTCGTGACTGGATGCATTGCTTGAAGCAACACTCGACATGCTTACGTATCGGTACAGCTTTTTCGGTCTTCCGAGTTTCCCTGACTTTTGTTTTGCGGGTCTTCCCGGCGCACGTTTCGGTGGTCCCATCTCGGGCTCTTGGTGGACTCTCTCGTTCCTGGTCTCTCTCCTTGGCTCAGTGTCTTCTTCTGGATGCATATATTCAAGATCCATCTGTTCGACGTTTCGTGATCTCAATACTGGTTCCTCGATAATTGATACATCCCTGGTGTATTCAATTCTGCCAGTATCACTTCGTCGTATTTTGTAGGCTTTCGCGGTTTCTGAATAACCGACGAGTCTACCCTCTACAGATTTTTCGTCGAGTTTTCCTCGAACTGGACCCTTTTTGAGTACAAATGATTTTGCACCAAATACACGTAGATGTCTCAAATCTGGCTTGTCTCTATGCCATAACTCGTATGAAGTTCTTCCTTCGTGGCTCCTGCTCGGACATCGGTTCCTCAGGTAATTCGCAGTATTTACTGCCTCTGCCCAGTACATCTCTGGCAGTCCTGACTGAATCAACAAACATCTGGCCATGTCGACGATTGTTCTATTCATACGCTCGGCTACGCCATTTTGTTGTGGCGTGTACGGCACTGTGAGTCGCCTCTTGTTTTGTCGAAAACTATCCAATGCGGATAATTCCCGTAATTGTTTTAAATTATATGATAAAGTTGGGATTAGGAAATTAAATAATAATACTTGGAATTTTTGGGGAACAATTTAAAAGAATTTATTTGTCCCCAAAGGAGGAAAACCCAGCTAGGCTAGGAAAAAAACCTCTTTGATGAAAATTATACAAGTAAGTTGTATGTGTGTAAGTGTGTGTGTGTGTAAAATTACGTTGCAATAACGCAATAGGGGTGAGCTCAGCCGCCGTATAAAGAAAATTATCGATAATTTGAATTTGTACTTGTTCAAATCTTCCTCTCTACTCCCCAGCCATTACCGACTAAAACCGGTCGAGGTTTCTCTACCTCTCCACTTGGAGGCAGCTCAGGCGCCAGTAAAGCAACAAGTGCCCTCTGGCCCAGAATTGGCACGCCTGCTTCTTTATCATGTTTCTTTCTAAAAAAAACATCCTAGCAAAAATCTAATCTGACTTTTTTTGCATCCATCTTTCATTCGAATCGTTTCTAATCGCCCTCTTGCTTACTTATATAACTTTCTTTTGCTTAATTTAACTGCTTTTAATTAATTTAGTGTGTTTCAGATATCTTAAAATTATTTGTGCAGTGATTATCGCTTTTTACAGTGCCGGAAGTTTTCTCAACCACGTGCTAACCGGCTCCGCTTTGATAACCACGCTGTGCATTGCTTATCTGCTTTTAATTAAATAATCAGCTATTGAATTAATTAAATATTTAGTGTACTCATTGTTAATAAATATATAGTATTATTTTTGTTAATTATTTTTGTATTTTTGATTGAAATTGAACAAACACAAACCATCCAAAGTCCCAGTATCTTTCATCTAATTAGAATTGAACTTTT